CTTATAGTTGGAGGTTTAAAGTATTTTATTATCGAGTTTAATTCGTTCAAATGAGTTGTGGGAGGATGACAAACATGTGTAATACACTTTCATGTGTCAATATTCATTGTGAAGTAAATCCCGGACATTTGCTTGTCAAGAAAACTGAAGTATCTCGAAAATCTTCAAAATAAGTTACCATATCATTTCAACACTTCTTAAGAATAAGATGATGAAAAGAATTAAGGTTAGATCCACTTTAAATTAACCCATTACAGATAAGCACGTTTGACGATCTTATTCACTGGTACCACTCGCTGGGAGGCGAGGGGGGGTGGGGGGGGGGGGGGGGGGGGAGGTCCTGGAGCCGTTTCGGAGAGTTAGGTTTTGGAGGTTTGTCTGCCTTTTATCCAAACATTTAACAAAGACTATATTGTGTAAATTTTATGTTAGAAAAGCAAGAAACCTTTTCCTTGCCATTTCTGTGATAAGGAGGAAATATTTTGGTTTCTAATTTCGAGAAATATTAGGTGATTTTCTAGGCTATAGACGGCGAAAATCACCTGGTGGTGCCGGCTTCTATTGGGAACCCTGGGCTACGTTGTCACTAATTAAGACAATAAAATGATGCGTGTCTCATGTTATGGCAAAGTTCATGACATCACCTAAAATATACTTACATTCGTGGCAATAGAAGTCGGTTCCAAAAATATGCTATACCAATTCATTTCTCACACGAACCAATTCATTTGGGACATGCATTTGACCAACTATTTGCAACTTTGTGTATTTGAACGTTTCTGGTTACTTCCTGACAATTTATAATGGATGATTCCAGTTATAGACGAAATTTTGATCTAGACAAGAAGAACGAAATCCATTACCATAGCTGAAAAGAGCATCTTCAAATTAGTAAAATTGCAAAGTTGGTTGCGAGATGTTGCAAAATGAGCAAAATATAGCCCTGTGAAGGTCGCAAATTTTGTATATATTTGCATTACGCGCTGGAAAAATAACCATTTTTGTGCCGAAAGTGGTTATTTTTACCGCGCGTAATACAAATATATACAAAATTTGCGAACTGCACAGGGCTATATTTTCTTCATTTCGCAACATTTAGCAACCAATCTTTGCCGTTTTACTCACTCTAAGACGCTCTTTCTAGCTGTGGTATTGGATTTCGTTCTTCTTGCCTTGATCAAAATTTTAATCTATAGCTGGTATCACCCATTGATCAATTGCATCAAAACCAAAGGTGACTGGTGCATTCAACAGGAAGTTTATCAATTATACAGGAAGTTATTTCTAATAACTCAGCAAATGATTGGTTCATGGTAGAATATATTTTAGCAACACTTCCATTGCCACGACTGTAGCTTATCTGCTTGAGCTTTCTTGGGAATTTTATACGGTAGATAATATATTTTTCTTGAATTCACATACTTTGTCATGAACAAATAATAAAATAGTTAAAACAGAAAAATTATTAAATTAATGCCTATACAACCTGGTTCACACATGCCTGCGGTATGCCTGCGCTATCATTGTTTACAGCTCTTGATACATATACATTCTTTTGTGAATTATTTGGTTGAACTTCTAACGACAATAGCCCTCCGACATATCGCATGCAGGTATATGTGAACCAGGCATACGGTGTATCGAAGTGTTGACTATAAAGCCTTGAGGTTGAATATATATATAATGGCACACTGTAAATTCAAAAGAGTCAAAATGAACTCAAAAGAGTCATTCTGCGGCCGATTAAAATCATAACGTAGAATAATGGAATTTTTAAAACAATGAAAAAAGGCAACGTTACATTCCGATCACTGAATTGTGACTGCATGGCATTATTGTTACTCTGCTAAGTGTTACGTATGCAAGGTTTAAATGTAAACTAGTCTTTTTGAAGAGGCAAGCTGCTTGATCGTTATTGTCTTTTTTTTTTACCCAGATACCCGCCAGGTGGTTGGTCCGTATTAAAAGTGTTCATTTTGCTTTGTGGTATAGCGGTTGGCATGTCATTCGGCAAGTTTATTGTTCACAAACGTTTACTGCGAAAACGTCTCAGATTGCAGATGTTTCAAGGTGATCAAGGTTCCTGGATGATCATGTTTCTAACCACAATTATTTCACTGTTTATATTTTCGCACATTTTCAACGGTTTTCTAAGTCTTGGCTCGGATTTGGATCGATATAAGTTGTCTGGCTTTTTTGGCGTGTCTAATGCAAACTTTATGAAATTCGCTGCACTGGGAACTTGGACTGGAGATTTTGTCACTGCGTGGATGGTCACAGATATAATGTTGCAGGTTAGTCCCACGTTGTTGTATGTGTAATAAATATCGTAAATCGCTTATAAATCGCTCGTAATTCGCTCGTAAATCGATATGAACTCCTTAAACAACGACGAAACAATGTATTTTACTCGAAAACAATACAAAATTACAATAACAAAGCAATTACGTACATGATTGACAGTTAATACAACCTATTTATAGCTAATTATAGCATAATGTCTCTGTCTGGTAATGTAAACGATATATTAAAATGTTAATAATTACTCTGTTCATAACACTCCCCAGGGTTGAGCCGTACACAGTGCTCAACAATACTCCCCAGAATAATCGTAAACTAGAAATATGAAAGTTTCACGAACTACAGTCTGTCTAACTGTTCGCATAATTGGTTTCTCGAATCATTAATTAACGGATAATGTTTATGTGTTCCTCTGAAACTCTTTCATCTGTTCCAATCTTCGCAACTCACCCACTACATATTCTCCTTGCATATCCTCCGTGTTCCTAGCAGCTCGTTTAACTTTCAGTTCGTTGACAAACCTTAACACGTACGCTGTTACACGCAACAGCTTAGCGAAGCTGCTGAAACGGTCACAATTTATGATGTCGTTCAGATTCAATACAGCTGATTCTTCTTCTTCTTTCGTACTGACGAGTGAATGAATAATAGTCTGCGGTTTCTTAACGGTTTCGTTCAAGGTTGTGTCATCCAGGGCGCTCGCTGCTGGATCCTTCGGCCACTTGCACTGAGGCTTGTAAAGATACTCTGGTCCACTCCACCTGGTCCTGTGGTAGCTGATCATTATAGACCACTCGCAACTTTGTAGTCGATTTGTCTTTCCTTACTACACCGTGATGTGGAAGATAATGTACGTTGTTTTCGTTCTCTTTGCTGTCGTCGCTTTGATAAGGCACTCGCTCGATTACTCCCGATATTAATTGTTCCTGAATTCCTTTGTCATATTCTCGAAGAGGCTCAGGTTGTATTGTTAACTTCTGATGCAACGACCGTAACCGATTGTAACAAAGTTCGTAGTCGACTCCGACCTCGGGATTGTCCTCTTTCCAAGGTAGGCGAACTTCGTATCGTTCTCCTGTAAATCGAATATCACGAATGAAGTTGACATCATCGTTTGGTTCAGCTTGATAATTGTCTATTCCTATGGACTCTGTTTCCCAAAAACGCTTTAGTGAATTGACAATCTTGTCCTCGTTCGTTGGCGCGGTGAAGTATCTTGATGTGTCCAATGATTCACCAGTTAGGATGAGATTTGAAACAGTCGGACCTTCGTGTTCAGCAGATTTTGGTACTCGACCGGATAACAACCATCCAAGCTTGCTGCTGACCGCTGTAGGACCACTTTCACCTTTGACAACATACCTGTGACAATGTCCCAATAATGGTCTGCGCCAATTAGGATATCGATGCTGTTACTTTCATTATCGTCGCCGCCAAAGTCTGCAAGTTCCAGCCCTTCCAGACGTACGTAATTCGTGTTGACTTTCGAGTTCAGTGGAGAACATATTATAGGGAAATTAATTGCTGTAACTTCTACCCCTTCACTTCCGTTTTGGTTCTCGATATTGAATTTATAGATTTCGCAGTTTTGGCGCTTGCATTTATTGTCCCCAAATGTGTTCAAATACAGTGTTTCCTTTCTAAGTGGTTCCAACTTTAATTTCGCTTGAGTTGAATTCGTAATATAAGAGCGCTGGCTCCCTGTGTCAAATAATACGCGTACGGGAACTGTTCTTACACCGTTCGTTGCCTTTGCTCTAGCTGTTTGAAGTAAAACAGTACCCTTACAGATTTTTGTGGCTGTTGTTGTAGATTCCTAATTTTTCGGCTGTTCGGTTGACTTCGCGCTTTCGACTTTCTGATTTCGTGAACATTTCGATTGGTGGTGCCTGCCCTGGCAGTGGCGGCACTTTCTTGCATTGTTACAGTCTTTCGCGTTGTGTCCTTTCCATAAACAGTTGAAACAACGACCTGATTCACTAAGAACTTTCTTTCGAGCTTCACAAGGAACAATCTTTTCGCATGATGCTGAATAATGGCGACCACTACAGTAAACACATTGGATTTTGGAATTGTCGGGCACCTTTAAATTTCAGCAAGGTCAGCTTCGGTAATTTCGGTTTAACATTCGTTGTTGTACTTGTTGTCGCTGTCGGTTGAGACGTGTTCGTGTTTACTTCGCTTTGACTCGCACTATTTGATTGTTCGCCACTGTCAATAATCGTACTATTCGTTGAATTATCATTCCCGTAGTCTACTTCTTGATTCGGTGATAACTGACTCGGTTGGACGTAATTCTTTACGTTGATCACTTTCGAAATTCCAGGCTTTAAAGCGTTTTCTAGTTTGCTTTTAGCGGTTAATATTCTGGAGACAACTTCTGCCGATTCTTCGATTTCTTGTTCGATATCTTTTACATCGCATAATCCTAAAATCTCTTCGTCAATTTCGCTTAGAATTTTTAATTTCCCTTCGAGTAAAGATCGGATAATTTCGCATCGATCGACATCAACATCGCCGGGTAAATGTAGGAGTTCGTCCGCTTCTTTCGCTAATTTAGTACAGACACCACGATGTCCGCCTCGCTTCGCTCTTAATCGGTCTAAATTCTCTTTCGATTCGGTCATAATTTCGCTTGGATTCAACTTGTTATGTTTTCAAGTTGCCCCACGTTGGGCGCCATGTAATAAATATCGTAAATCGCTTATAAATCGCTCGTAATTCGCTCGTAAATCGCTATGAACTCCTTAAACAACAACGAAACAATATATTTTACTCGAAAACAATACAAAATTACAATAACAAAGCAATTACGTACATGATTGACAGTTAATACAACCTATTTATAGCTAATTATAGCATAATGTCTCTGTATATTAAAATGTTAATAATTACTCTGTTCATAACAGTATGGGTTGATTATATGTATTTTTGTTTTGCGGTGATTGGCTGAGTTGTCCCAGTGGTGTAACTTTACTTTTTTGACCACTTGCCCTCGGGGCAAGTTGAACATGAAAGTTAGTTGCCCTGAATGAAAATTAGTTGCCCTGGGGTACATATAGGTAGGGGGTATAAATTAAGGGGACAACATGCCGACCCGTTCTCCCACTGCTCTATATGGCTACCGTAAACCTCCTACTATAAGCCCTGTGCTTATATACTTTCGTAAGCGATTTTTGATGGGCTTATACCATAGATATCTTATACACACTAGATAGTGCATCTAATTATTTTGCAATTCAAAAATTGAAGCCGTGATTGCAGTCTCAGGTCGTTCCCATGAAATGAGAAGATTCGTATGTTTTCTATTTCTTAAACAGGGAACTTAAACATTAAGTTAAGCCTATTCCAAATACATTTTTAAACTAGTCAAATGATGAAAGTTGTTGTTGTTTTTAAGCGTTTATTAGCAAGTGGGAACGACCAACATGGCCGCCATCTATTCAAATGGGGGTAACCGCTGGAATATTCTTGGCTTCAATTTTACAAAAAGAGATGCGCTATCTAGTGTATATAAGATATCTATGGCTTATACATGGGTGGGCATATATACCGGGGGGCTTATACATGGACGATCTTTTGTGTTAGTAATAAACAAGTCAGACATAAACAAGTCAGTCATAAACAGGGAAATAAACATAAACTTAAAGACGAAAATATAAACTTAAAGATGCCCAGCTATTTGTGGCAAGGCAACTTGTCCAAATCGGGCAAGCAAGATAAAACGTTTACTTGCCCGTCATGATATTCACTTGCCCCGGGAAAGCGGGCAAGTGTTAAGTTACACCTATGTGTCCTTCAGATTTCAACCTCTAGTTTTCGCGCCAAAACGGAGGAATGAAATAAGTTTTAAACTAAATTTTTTTAAAAAACTTAACCTACTGTATAACCATACATAGTTAGAACACAAAAATGAATTGCATCAAGCTCTAAAGACTTGATACTAAGCACGTTGCACACCAAATTTGACAGTTTTTTTAGAAAACTGCGGCTGCATGTCAGACAGTTGATTTTGACATACAAAACGCTCAAAAAGCTGTATTTTTTTTTCAACTGCTCATGTATCCGGCCACTTAAAAGCGAAAAATCGCTGTTTAAAATGCAGATAATTTAGAAGAAATCTTTTCGTCTCAATCTTATAGAATCTTAAAAATTTTTTAACTGCATGCAATGTAAACCCTTTCGACATCTTTGCAATTTCTGAATCATGGCTAAATCCCTCTATCTTGGACTCTGAAGTTAATTAGCCTCCCTGGCTACACTTTGGTAAGGAAGGATCGTAAGAATATGCGTGGTGGTGGAACAGTCATTTATACGAGACGGTATCCCATATATACGCACAGTCCGGACCTTCTACTGGCGCTATTGAGACACGCTGGGTTGAAATAAATCGTGCCAAATGTAAGAAGCACTGGAAATTTTTTTTCCAAATCCTTACTATGGAAATAGTATGAATCTTAGTTGAAAATAGTATGGAAATCCAATTTTCATGTAGGCTACTAATTGCAATTTCCATACAATGGAAATAGTATGGATTTACTATAATGGATTTAGTGATGCAATCGCACATTCCATAGTATGAATTTCACTATTTTTTTCTAGTGAATCTTTTTGTTTGAGTGTTTGTAGACGCCTGATTTCGGACCTGGCCAATTCGTTGATGACTTGAAAAGTCACCTAAGAACACCGATCATTTTTCGTGCAAATTAGAACAAAAATTTCAAAGGTTTTCTAGGTCAAATAACCTAGAACAGCTAGCGCTGATCCCCACCCCAACTGGGATATACATGCAGTCAATCCAGCACTACTCTCGATTTGACTTTTTTCCCTTTATTGACAACTTTGATAACATCCATATAATTAACAAATATAAAACATTTTCCGTGTTGATATACAGTTATGTCAACACGAGTGGAAAGTGGGAAAACGAGAAGTTGTGTGGAAACACGACGCCCGAAGGGTGGAGTGTTTTCACACAATTTCGAGTTTTCCCAATTTCCACGAGTGTTGATATAACTGTATATCAATACGGAAAAAATGTTTTATATTTGTTTTATAATATACTGTAGCACAAAGAAATGACGTTTCCGTGTTGATATTGAGTTATATCAACACGGCTCTTAGCCAATCAGCGTTCAGAATTTACAAATGCTATATTATAATTACAATTAGTGACTCTTAGAACATTCTATTTATATGGAAATCAAGTTCCTGGAAATCCAAGCAATCGTGCAATCTCATTTTTCTTTTTTTGTAGCCAAATTAAATGGCGATCAACTAAAATTGTCTAGACTTAGATATATATGTTATTTACCGGCTGCGAGGTCCGGATGAGAAAAACTGTGCCCGAGGTCTTGAAAACGGCCCGAGCCCGAAGGGCGAGGGACGTTTTCAAGACCGAGGGCACAGTTTTTCTCATCCGGACCGACGCTGCCGGTAAATAACGTGTTTATTTTTTATCAGATCTATTCAGATGTAAAAATTAAATTGATTAAAATTCCAGTGTTGCTTGCGAACTAATTTGAGATCAGTGCAGTTGTGTATTTTCAAAGCGAGGCTGATAAAAATTGAAAAGTTAAAAAATATAAAACACGAATACGAAAACTCGAGAAAACTGGCAAGAAACACACAAAAAGACGTATAGTTTCAGTAAAAATGTACATGCTTTTTTAATGAATATGGTAGCAGAAAAGCTTTGGAATAAAAACTTTTATGCCTGGCGTTTTGGCTTTGGCTTTGACAAGTTGCTCCTGACAACGACAGGTTCATGTTCAGATCCGATCAAAAACATATAAAAATGAATCTGTTTTGATTTATTAACGTTTTTCTACTAAAAGGACAATGAAAAAGGTATGTTATTTTTATATTTTTGTATTTTTTCTTGTCGTTTCACGATAATATGCTTGAAAAAAGTGTTTTTAAACACAAACTTTTACTTTGTTTATATCAGTGAAAAATATATGACACAAAAACAAATGGGTAGAGAATATATTCGTGACTTGTTTTCACTGCTGCAGTTAAACCTTCTTTTATAAATGGGAAAACATTTATTTTACAATATCTGTTTAAGCTGTAATTTTTTCGCTTTTAAGTGGCCGAATACATGAGCATTTAAAAAATATATAGTTTTCTCGACGTAAGTTTTATTATACATGTCAAATACTTTCCGACTTTCAGTCGCAATTCTATCAAAATATTGTCAATTCTCGTGAACATCGTGCTTAGTATGAAGCCTTTAGGGCTTGATGCAATTCATTCGTATTCTGACTATCGTTAGGCTATGTTTTTCAAACGTTTTCGGCAGATTTTTTCGTTTAAAAATTGTTTCACTCCTCAGTTTTTGCCGCGAAAACCAGAGCGGGCAGTTGCATTTCACAGCGGGCAGTTGCGTTTCAGAGCGGGCCGGATGCAAAAAACCGGCCCGCTCTGGAAGGCTCCTCAGCCAATCAGATTGCTTCATTTTCACTGATAAAAAATAATTAGACTTATTAGATTGATTAACATGCTAAGTTACAGCTTCTTACTTTTTATCATAGGAAAAATTGTATCCGTCTTGGGCTGTTTATCTACGGTCAATTTGGCGTCGAAAATGGCATCGTATTATTGCTTTCTGGGCAGTCTGGATTTTAGCCACAATAATTGTCGCGACTGGTATAACCACAGATTTTGTAAAATGGGATGATCTCAATCGTGATTTTGTGTCCACGAATGAATTATCACGCGCTTTTCTTGCATCGATAATCCTTGTTATGGATTTACTCATCGTCATGCAGGTTGGTCCGCGTAGCTTATCGAAGGGAAGATGGCTATGAAACTGATTAAAGTAACAATTATATAACATCATGTTCACCTGAGTACATAACACCAACACAGAAAAATCATGATTACTAGATTGCATTGATATCGAAGGAACTAGACTCAGTTCCAAAATATCACATATTCGAACCGACCTGACCGCGTAGCTCAGTTGGCAGAGCATTGGGCTAGTATTCCAAAGGTCGTAGGTTCTATTCCCACCGTGGCCAGGCATTTTTTCAAGCTTGCCCAGTGTGGATATACACTCAGAGTAACATCACAAACATCATATTCACCTGTGTACATAACACCAACACAGAAAAATCAATATAACTCATTGGGTAAATATCAAGATTTTTGAGGCATCTACAATACCCATAAAATATTATTCATACGAGTGAGATGCCTCAAAATCTTGATATTCACCCATAACCTATACATGGCTGTACCCTAGTATATATACATGAACTTGTGGTTAGATCTCGACAACTGCATGGCCTATGTATAGCTCATGCAGAAGGTTCGAGCGCTACACCGGAAACGCAAGGCCGCAGGTTCAATTCCTGCCAGGGAGCTAAAGTTGCATTTTTCGCTTCTTTTCCTGTAGGTTAGGTCTAATAAATGTATATAAATTTCCATTCGAGTATTCGACAATTTCCATCTATACAGTACCCATCAAATATAACTCATTATATATATTCATAAATCTGGTCCTTCACCGTCACGTGCGTGTTGTATTTTTACCCAACTAACCAATAGCAATGTTTTAAGAAAGTTACCTATCATATTACCTATAAAGTTACCTATGAAATAGTTATTGGTGGATTTGGCAAAATACAATACACACGTGACGGTGAAGGACCATATATATATGAATAAACGTTGACTAACATAGATAATGAGTTATTGTTATTCTGATGAGTTTCACAGCCATCTTCCCTTCGATAGGCTATGGTTGGTCTAAACGTTATTTTATTAGTAGGAGAGTATTGCCGTTAGCAATACTTGCTGAGTTTTATGCACCCGTCTTGTGACGTTCTTCTACAATGACGTTGATATTCCCCTCTTGCTCAGCGGCGGCGCCAATGGGACCCCCCCCCCCTCATGAACGAGTCGCAAATTGTTGTATTTATTCAACAAAAGTTGAGCTGTTTGGATATGAATTATCGAATTGAATGATCTGAATTAAAACCAAACTTAAATTTAAATATAAAACTTAATACTTCAAAAAGTTAGGTGAATAAATACCTTGAAAATGTTTTCTATCGAGTCGTAGCGGGTAATTTAAAAATTCAAAACTATCCAACAGCCTCAATAAATGCAGATGAGTTGGGTTTTGTTGGCGGTCATGGCTGGAAACAGTTGTTGTGGGTGGTTAGGATCAGTCTCAATAGTTGAGATAGTCATTTGAAATCTTTCCCAGAACGGAGGAACGGAGCTAGTTAAACTGCCTTCACTATACACTGTATGGTGATAGACGAAACGTTCCGTAATTAAATGTTTCATATTCTTACTTACATCTATCTTTCAATGTGCTTTTTTACTTGCTGAGTAAGGAATTATTCTTGAACTATTCGTATATTTGTGTGGAGAATTACCCCAAATTTCAATTGTTTGAAATGAATGCAATTATTTTGTTGAATATTAAAATAATGCCACTCGTCTAACCAAATCAGGCAAAGTTTGTATTTTATTTCCTCAGACGTTTCGCAGACCAAGGCTTCATCAGTGAATATACAATAATCTAGATAATAAAATCGTCCTCCTTTATATATATATACATGCATATCGCTTAATTAAAAATATACAAGTTAGTATAGTATGTGTGTAGTTTTTTTATCTCAAAAGGTTGCCACAACAGCCTGTTTCATCCAAGACGAATCATCAGGTGGTTCAATGAGACTGTTATATACTTTATTTCCAGGACTGGGATTTTCCTCATTTTCAATCCGCTATTGACATCAAATTACCTGGTGTGAACACGTCATCATTTTATTTCACCCCACCTCGTTGTCTAAGAAAGGAGAACTGGGCAGTACATGTGACGGGTAAATGGTTCAATTATGGTGTCATATTTATTGTTATGATTCTCGATATTAACATGTGGAAAAATCAGATCTTTTATGATCCTTTTACCTTTGGACAATACACGGACTCGGATGGCTACATCTACACTGTGTCTAATACAACATTTGTAGAGAACGCGAACAAAACCACTCTTTCGCATGAATGGCGTTGGAACCATACGAATCCAATGACCAACAGAACATATGGTGAAGATGACTTGAGAATGAATTCAAAGTATTTGGGTTATTCATTGGGAGTGAAAGGTCTAGCTTTTGTTCCATCCATTGTTGCATTCATTGTGTTCGGCTTGCTGGTGTGGTTTTACGGCCGCGTGGATGCTGCGGTGAATATTGTGTCAGCTCCCAGTCAGGTTGATGGAATCGTGGTGGATCAGTGGGAATATGAAGAAAAACCATCTCATCAAGGTATGATTATGATATATATTATAACAATTATTGAATGAGGTCGAGCATGTTATGAAGAATTATCAAGCCATAAGTTAATTATCAAGCCAACCGAAGGCTGGGGTTGATAAGACAAACTGAGGGCTTGATAATTCTTCATATCTGGCGAAAATCAATTTATAAAATTTATTTAAAAAATGAAAAATTCTGTGGTTTCATTTATTCTAAATAATCCGTCTTTATATTGACCATTTCGTTTCCCCAAATCTTTCCTTTTTCCAAAAATGGTTCAAAACAATTCGTGGCTGTTTCCTTTGATATTTCTTCTTTAATTTTTGGACCAGGGAACTGGTTCCCAATCGCAGCTAATCTTCTTGTTAGAGAGCTTAAGATCTACGACGCCCCCGGCTCAACGACGCGCTTGCAAAAGAAATAAATTTGTCATGCAAGACAAAAACTGTGAATAATTTGTGGTTCCAGGGGTATTCTTAACGGCTTTGTCATTCCATGTTTTTACCGGGAAACTTCAATGTTTGTGATGATCATGTAATGGTATACAAATAATGAATGTTTATGAGTGCAATGGTAAGAATATTTCATGAGGTGAAAGATGGAATGTTCCATTCAACGAGGCGACAGCCGAGTTGAATGGAACATTCCATCTTTCACCGAATGAAAATATTCTTACCATTGCACTCATAAACATTCATTATTTGTTTTATATAATACCAAAATAGACTAATAGATTCGTATGAGAAGCACTTTGAGGGATGCGATTTATCGAAAACACAAAGAGTGCAATTGTACTATACGTTTTATTCCACTGCACTCGCAGAGAGTGCAATGGAACGTGTTCCATTGCACTCTTGGGAAATGGAATTTTTTATTCGATACCACGTGACCATAAACAGCCAATTAAACGATCAGAATTCAATAAGGTATTATATAATTTCAATTAGATCAGCCAATCAGCTTAGAGCGAGTTAAACGTGATTGGCTGATCAGATTAAAACTTGTCAAGTGTTCTTGACAAACATTGAAGATTCTCACACAAATAGGCAATGTTTTTATCTGCGACGGTCCACCTTAGTTGCAAGCGACGGTATTTGGGCTGGATCAAAGAGGGCGGATGTTGAGTCGTAGATCAGGGTGACTAATACTGATCTACTGGTGGTAATCAAAACTCGTGAAACAACGCACCTTTATGCATGGTTAGTAGATTACAAAGAGTTTTATGAAGGAGAACTATTTATTAATGCGTTCGACAAGCACAAAAATCACAGCTGTACTATACGTTCAGCTTTGATGAATGCTTTTTCAAGCAATACTTATGCATTTATAATATTAGAAGGCTATATTAATATGGCTTTAATAAAAGATTGTATTTATCAGTTTGATTCTCATTCACGAAATGTTTGTGGTATACTGGTACATGCCTGATCTAAATGATAATAAATGCGAATTTATAGAACTTTAATACTTGCAATTACTATCCTGAAGACTGCCCAAGTACCGCGTGCGCTTATGGTGTGATAATGCACGCGGGGAATGTTGGGAGATTACGAGAAAAGCGTGCAAAACACGAGGCGTAGCCGAGTGTTTTACACGCTTCTCGAGTATTCTCCCAACATTTTCCGAGTGCATTATCGCACTATAAACGCACGAGGCGAGCTTTTCTATTTCTAGAAAGAGCATGCAAGCAGTGCCACAGATCACAGTGCATTATTGCGTAATAATGCACAAGCACAAGCCAATCAAATTGTCTGTTATATTACACTTATATTATAATTGTTTATCAAGTCAAAATCTCGAAGGTTTTGAACGTTTAACGACTTGGACAAGATGGGAACTCGGTCACGCAGTCTCTGGTTCGCTATAGTACGATCGTACTTATTTAAAAATTTTTCCTTATTAAAGGCTGATTTCCACTGTTGCGTTTTCATACGTACGTATACGCACGTAAAATTTTAAATCCGTTTAAATGTTGCTTATGAAATAACCAAATAAACTAGGGAGATACTAAGCATGGGGCGAGCCTGCGCCAGAGCAATGATAGCCAGCGACTATCATGCAACAATGTTTACTAATGTCAACCTTTCTTGTTTCCGCAATTTAATTAAACTATCATTGGCATTGCAATGTATAGTGTAGAAATTTCAAAGGCAAAATTCGTAGTATTATTAACGTTGGCAATTATATTTCTTATACCCATGTTTCAGGCCTGTTCTAAACGTCGCATTTTACATGTGCCGAATGTATTCAAAACTAGAGGGCACTCAGAGGCTGCATACCTCCGCCCGCATTGAATTTCGGTCATGTAAAATGCAACTAAGACAATAGACAATGAAGGCTCATTATTGTCTTAGTACTGCGTGCATACATTAAACACGTCCTAATTACGCATTCAGTAAGTTTTTTTAATTGGCCGGGAAAAGCAAGACAAATGTTTGTTCATTTCTCGTTCAATTTTTAACCAAATTCAACCAAATTTTAATAAATTCTTCCTTGGCCGATGGGAAATGCATTAAAAAAATTTCGTGTGAATATGTGTGGTATTTCTTGAGTTATCGTGCTCACAGACAAACACACATACACACACACATACACACATACAAACCCAGATGATTACATAACCTCCTGGCGGAGGTAACAAACCCAGATGATTACATAACCACCTGGCGGAGGTAACAATAGATAATCAGCTGAAATGCCTCATTTTATCCATTGTTTTGAATGCATTCGGCGCATGTAAAATGCGACGTTTAGAACAGGCTTTATATATTTGATATTTTGGGAAATGCATTCAAAAAATTTCGAAATGCATTCAAAAAATTTAAACACGTTATTGAAATCACAATCTTTTCAATATTTCATGCATGAAATATTGAAATAAATAATATAGAATGCGTGGTTTTTGGCAAGCGCGCAAAAAATAGCAGATAGCAGATATACATACATGGCACTGCATGTAAACAAAACATTTAATTATTAAACATTTAACAAAACATTTTTTTGAGAAGAATGACAGAATTACAGAATATTCAGCCCGAATCAAATCGAAATCGGGCTTTGCATCAGAATTTGATCCGCAACTCACTCGGAAATCGAGAAAAGTAAAATTGCGATGGGCTTTATAATAATAATACTGCATGTATTAAACAAAACATTTAATACATGCATACAGAGAGCCGGATTGCAAAAACTTGCAAATAAGGTCTTTTTTTCATAGTCTTAGAGAAGAATTACAGAATATTCAGCCCAAATCAAATCGAAATCGGGCTTTGCATCAGAATTTGAACCGCAACTCACTCAGAAATCGAGTAAAGTAAAATTGCGATGGGCTTAATAATACTGACCATTCCAACTTCCATTTGTTCTTTGGCATGAAGAATATATTTCATCGCATGTCGCATGAAAAATTGTCAGCCGGTGAGAGGCGAAAGGCCCGTAAAAATTACTGTAAATCACTGCAGTGTAGGACTGAAAGTTCTCAAAATAGCCGGTGCGAGGCGAAAGGCCGGTAGGATTTAAATCACTGTAGGAAAAGTTCCGTGTACGGAATGAACCGACCATAATGCATTGCGCTTGGGCTGGATGAGCCACCAAACTGTGGGGCTCGCTCAGGCTCGCCCCAATAAAGCAAAATAACTTAGTGTTCCGCAAGTTTTAGTATGCATTAATTAACGTATTTGTAAAATATTTGAAAAATAGAAAGGGTTCAAAGTTTTGCGTGCGTGTACGTGCGTACGAAAAACGCAACAGTGGAAATCATCCTTAAAAACTGATCGTGTTTCCACATTTCTCATTCGTACTTCCACAGCATGACGTCATAACGTTGAATATGATTGTTTCATATTCAAATTTATCACGTCACTGACGATTTTACAGCCAATCAGAAACCATGAGTCTTTTAATTAAATAAATAATAAATAACCACTATTGAATGAGGATGAGCATGACATGATGAATTATCAAGCATAAATTTGTGTTATCAACCGAAGCCCAAAGCTGAGGTTACCAGCTCCTGTCTTTATTTGGCCAAGTCTTATAACAAGTATTTTAAGAAGCATTTGAATCGTCTAGTCTGCATGGTGATGGCAATTTGCTCTACAAGTATCTGTTAAAACTAAAGAAATTTATTTATCGTGTAAAACTACCCGAAACGTTGCAAATATAAAGCATTATATATTGTGTATAATCCTGGATTTGTAATGATAATCTAAATAATTGTGTACACTTTGTAGAGTGAGTGGTTGTCCAAAATATTTCCTTGTTTATAAAGAAGCTTTTGGAAATTTCGCTCTAAAGTTGTATATAGGTTAACCTAGGATTAAACTAATCACTTTTTGAACAACTGTATGGCCCTGGGGCTACAAACCATTGTGCGGTTCCGTGTGATCATAATCAATAGAATAAAGAAGATTAGGAAACTTGTTGAGGAAACTCGATGGGAGACACCATTGCTATCCTGTTCAGCTCAAAGAAGCCAGGGCCGTTGGACTTCGCCGGGCGGGTCGGTTTAGCGCTATAGAGTCTCCCAGGTTTCGACGTCAATGCCGAAGTTTTTCAACGACACTTTTGGACAATGCAATTTGCCTTCTGCTGGTTCGCCATAGAACAGTCTTTTATAGAAAGCGTGAGTCAGGCATTCCGACAAGGTGGCCCGCCCAACTGACCTGGGCTCTTTTGAGCAGGTGTTGGTGCTGCGAAAGACATGCGAGAGAGGACCCCGGTGTAAGGGTCTTCGTCACGCCAAATGATTTTCAACCTATAACTAACTATTACACCTCTACAACAATGTTAAACGACCCTTTGTTGGTTATTGCTTCTCGTCTGCGGGGATCTTCGGGTCGGGGGACAGCTGTTTCATGATAATTTAGACACAATATTATAACCACACTTATACACTTTTATATATTTTGTTATTCTGTGTTGATGTGCTTCCCTTCGATACCGTGTCAAAACTCTCTCTAAGATCTATTGTGCTCACCCTATACAATTACACCTATCAATCGCTCATTGTTCATTGTTCATTGTCAGGGGTTTATTGTTATGAGTATCCGGTTAATTATTAACTATTATGTTTCATATAACCACAACGACAACCTGAAGCCAATCTACTATGTGACTCTTTCTGACTTTTTAAGCTATTGTGCAGAGGGCCGTTGTAAGAATGCGAAATGTAAAATGTGAGATGTTACTCGTACCCAGGTGCCATAGGAACGTCTGCGGCAGGGTGATGTGTCTGGGTTTACGAAGGCTACGAAGCAGTATATCACTCCTTACTAAAGCTGGAGTAATACGAGCAACAAAATTGCTGCAACTTGCAGCAAAACTGATTTCTACGCATGTTAATTGAAATGTTTATGCACAAACATTACGGATCACAAGGAAACATGTGTCGACATTTCTACTAACATGCGTTGAAATCAGGTTTTGTTGCAAGTTGCAGCAATTTTGTTGCTCGACGTATTACTCCAGCTTAACTTCTTAAATACAAAAAAATTATGTTTAATATCTTTTCTGTTTCGCATTTAATTTAGGTGGAAAACATGATCAGGAAATGGGAATAACCAGTGAAAGTAATTCAAATGGAAAGCCTCGTCCTAAATCAGGTCCGATATCTGTTGAAGAAGTCGATAGTAAAAGTCAACCTGTGCTTACCAGCTATGAAATGAAAACGCTGACATAAAAGCGCCCCTATAGTATTAACGCTCTATGCACAAGAACCATTATTTACCGTGTAGAATTTCGTGTAGAATAGACTTGTTATATTTATTCGCATTCCTTCAGAACATTATGTATTGAAATTCAATATTCGTATGGATGTATTTCGTGTTTGAAATTTGGAGTGAATATAGAAAAGAGATATTTAGTGGTTAAAGACGTTATCAAACGACGCATTTTTTTTAAATGAGGCATAAAATAAATAATTCGCGTGTAATCCTCAAAGTTGCTTGTACGATTTCTGTTTCCTCATGTTACTAGCACATTTTTCTAATCGAATATATGACACGTTATCATCTTACTAGAAATACATGCATGCAGCAACCCCTCGCCTTTTTTAACAGAGGAAGTATAGAAATTCCATTCAACATGAACTACTCCGTGTTTAAAATAATAGTATAGTCGCTATGGTAACATGAAATTAATATGAGAAAATAATACGAGATAATTTTTTACCTAAAGAATCATTGATTTTCATAATTTGTTATTTGGAATGTAGTTTTATGTTATGTGGCTTTCAATGGGCTAAAATTTAATGTAAAATGTAACGGTAAAACATTTCGAAACTTTGCCGTGAAACTGCAGGGAAAACTGAAACACTCGTTTTGGCGACAGTAGTTTTTTCAAAAATACGGTAAAAGTATATTTGCTTTATATATAGTTGGTGAAGCCATATTTGCTGTAAGTAAAAGACCATTATAAACACGCATAAAAACACGATACGCTGTATTAATTGCTCCAAATAAACAATATTTAAAATCACTACATTTATACAATTTCATGTAAATACCAGCTAGCATAAAAACATACAATTTATTGAGTTATTAAAGAATGGCGTAAAAAATTATTCGCCGATATGAATGAAATCGAAAACACAAAGCAAGTAGGCCTACGGTATGAAATTTTAATACTGAAATGTTTATAACACTTACCCAAAATAGCCAAGAGGCCAAGAGTCTAAGACAACGATTAAATTTTATATTGAAAACATCTGGTTCGTCTTCGCCAAAATTCGTGTTTATACATGCCTTTCACACTTTGTTTCACGGTTGACAGCCACTAAAGACTGATTTCTCATCAAAGGCTGATTGCGTTTTTCGTACGCACGTACACGAACGTAAAACTTTGAATCCTTCCATTTTTTAAATATTTTACAAATAAGTTAACAAATGCATACTAAAACTTGCGGAACACTAAATTCTGTTGCTTTATTTATTTGGTTATTTCATAAGTAACATTTAAACGGATTTAAAGTTTTACGTGCGTATATATATATATATATATATATATATTATAGGTTATCATATGACGGGCGGGGTAATCAGTTTTATCACTTGAGGAACGATATAACCTCGCCTCGATTATGATACCCTGCTTATCACATACTTGTGCCTTTATCAGGGACAGAATTAAAAATAAATTTAAACAAATTAAATGAATTTAAATTAAAAAAAAATAATTTAAAATAATCATTGCCCAAGGCCCAATGCAGCAATTATTGACTTAACAGATAGAACTTAACAAAAACAAACAAAGAATAACGTATTTTTGAATGCGGCATATCACTTTCTGTTTTTCGCTTTGTATTATAATTTTTTTTCTTCGATTCAAGCTGTCAACATCGACTAAACATGAACCATGAGTCAGCCATCTTGTTTTGACAGCGACAAATATAGCGGGACAAAAGCGATATTAGTGCAGTAGTGGAAACCTATGAAGTGTTATTAGGGTCATAATTCAAATAGAACTTGAAATCCTTTCCATTTAAGGCGGTCCTAAGTTGAAAACTGTGTAGTTGTGAAGTAATTATCGAAAGGGTGTATTGCTTCTGGCCTCACGGCAGAAATATTTCTTTTTCTCGAATTAATGCAGTCCAACATGGACGGTAAAAGTTGGTATATCAACGATTTAACATCCCTTCCATTTACTATTTGACGAATAGCTTCTTTCTGCTCTTCCTTTAACTTAATTTGAGTATTATTTGTTTTTGCAAGTGCAAAATATATTGCTTCTTGTAGTATTAAGCCTTCCTCGTACAGTTGCATTCATTGCGGTCGCCATGTTTTTAGGGAGGAATGCATATGCTGTGCGACCAAGCCGATTCCGACGCAGCTCAACAGTCTGAACCAGGGCCATTGTGAGGGCCGCCCGAGCTTGGGCCTGGGGACGAGGATGAATTTGGGCAATTTTTAACACTCATCCCCAGTCGTCTCATCAACTTCGGAATGGCTAATTACAATGATAAATACCATGCCCATTGGTGACAGTCTGTGACAACTAGTCCCATCGTATGGCAATGCGAGTTGTAGCTTTTGATAAACTATAAGACGATTTATATGATTTATGGTCACATGCACTAAATGGGAATCTAATAAAGATTTACTACTATTTGACGAGCCTTTGCATGGTTTCGGTCAGCGTGCTTACAATGCTTACAATTTTCGATTTGTCTTAATCTTGATTTTCAAAATGTCTTAATAATCTTGATTTCCAATTTCTTAATTGTATGGGCAAATTATGTACCATTAAATAATGCCAGAGACCCCCAACAATTCTTGTCGCCTCATCCCTAGCTATAGCACGCACACCCCTGATTTAACCCTGCTGTGATGTGCTCTAAAACACTGCGTTTAAATTTCCAGGTTATATTTTATCTCGTATCCTATACCATAGTCTGGTTTAATGTAACCAGGAATTCTGCACGTATGTTTGTTTAAAACTTTATGGAATAAGCTTCTATTTACCCACACAGGATCTAGTTTATAAATAGGCTGTTACATAGGAAATTAGCTTTGACATTTTGGGTTAACCTAGGATTAATTTATTTATTTTATTTGCCCAAACGTAGTACAGAAATACCGTAAATAAAGGTATCTTCAACCTATATGATTACCGGCTTTAGAACAACTGGCCACAGAGGTATACGATTTTGTAGATTGAAATTTCTAGTGTGAATTTTATACACTTATTTAGACCTAACCAGGAGGCTAGGGGGCTTTAGACCCCCCC